AAATGTCCTTTGGAAAAAGGAAAAATTAAAGTCGTAGTGCATATAACGTACAACACGTATATTATATTACAGTGATATATGTAATATATCTTTAATGGTACTGCATTATAAATATTTCGCAGGCTATATATGTATGTCTGTACTTTGTATACTGTATCATTATTACGTTTGTCGAATAAATTATCTTTAAACACATACACACGTTGATATTCTTTTGCCCTATGCGAATATCCCAGAGTAAGAATGAGTTCTGTCTCTTTCTTGCACTCCTCCTCCTCCAACATTATGCTTTTACACCTCGTCACGGCTATGCTGTATTTTCTCTGCCATTACTTTCATTCCATCTGTAAGTTGAAAAAAGTAAAGGGATTTTTTGAAAGTGCCCTGTCGCAGTTTAATCTGTACCAGTCTGATAAAGCTGATTTTCGAATTACTTTCGGAATTATTTTATTGGATAAAGTTTACCCGTTCTCTCAGAGATGGCGCCACATATCATGCCCAGGAGGTGCTGCCCTCTTATCGGCGAAAATTCGAACTAATGCGAATTCTTTAATAAGATTTACTCATTGAAATTTCGACGATGGGATTTTTAAATTGAATTCGGAATTATTTTAGCGGAGAAAGTTCACTCGTTCTCTCAGAGATGGCGCCACATATCATGCCCAGGAGGTGCTGCCCTCTTATCGGCGAAAATTCGAACTAATGCGAATTCTTTAATAAGATTTACTCATTGAAATTTCGACGATGGGATTTTTAAATTGAATTCGGAATTATTTTAGCGGAGAAAGTTCACTCGTTCTCTCAGAGATGGCGCCACATATCATGCCCAGGAGGTGCTGCCCTCTTATCGGCGAAAATTCGAACTAATGCGAATTCTTTAATAAGATTTACTCATTGAAATTTCGACGATGGGATTTTTAAATTGAATTCGGAATTATTTTATTCGAGAAAGTTCACTCGTTCACTCAGAGATGGCGCCACATAGCATGCCCAGGAGGTGCTGCCCTCTTATCGGCGAAAATTCGAACTAATGCGAATTCTTTAATAAGATTTAACCAATTGAAATTTCGTCTAAGTGATTTTCAAATTGCATTCCAAATTATTTTATCGAGAAAGTTCACTCGTTCTCTCAGAGATGGCGCCACATATCATGCCCAGGAGGTGCTGCCCTCTTATCGGCGAAAATTCGAACTAATGCGAATTTTTTAATAAAGGGGTTTCGCAGCATAAGGAAGGAGAAGGATGCTTTTAGGCCGGAGGAGCGTATGAAAGAGACAGAACTCATTCTTACTCTGGGATATTCGTATAGGGCAAAAGAATATCAACGTGTATATGTGTTTAAAGATAATTTATTGGACACACGCAATAATGATATAGTATACGAGGTACAGATATAGATACATATATGTTTTACAAAAGATTAGCAATAACAATACCATTAGAGATATATTATATATATCACTGCAATATCATATACGTGTGGTATGTTACATGCGCTACCACTTTCGACTTTTATTTTTCCAAAAGACATTTTAAAAACTTGGTTTTTAAGGATATACTAGGAGGAGAGTGATGGAGATATAGGAAGGAATAGGAGATTCGAAAAGTGTATAAGTGTTACAAGATAATTTATTCGACAAATGCAATAATGATACAGTATACGAGGTACAGATATAGATACATATATGTTTTACAAAAGATTAGCAATAACAGTACCATTAGAGATATACTACATATATCACTACAATATAATATACATGCGGTATGTTACATGCGCTACCACTTTAGACTTTTATTTTTCCAAAAGACATTTTAAAAACTTGGTTTTTAAGGATATACTAGGAGGAGAGTGATGGAGATATAGGAAGGAATAGGAGATTCGAAAAGTGTATGTGTTAGAAGATAATTTATTGGACAAATACAATAATGATACAGTATAGGAAGTACAGATATACATACA